TGAAATAATTTGAGCTTTCCTAGTGGCCCAGTATATATTCATTTTGTTATATGTTCCTTGGGCCCTTGAAAATCATGCGTATCAGGGGGAATGCAGTGTTGCCTGCGTATCAGTTAGATCAGGTTTGTCAATCACATAATTCAGATTTCGGTAGCCACGTTGAGTAAAGCAGAAGTCGCTGAAATCATCTGTAATACATTTTATTTTAAAGCACACAAAATGGTATCCTTTCCGTGTGTGATCAGCATGATGAAACCCAATGAATCAGTTTCTGTTCTTCACGCTGCGCCTTTAAACTCCAGTGCGTGTCTCACGTGTGCAGCACACCTCAGTGTAGCGCCGGCCGCACTTCAGGTACTTCATGGCTGCAGGTGACCACGCACCAGGGAGCCCAGTTCCGTGAGAGATGTGTCTTTAACGTCTGCCATTGCGATTATGAACCTGGCTGTTACTCCTTTCCTATTTCTGTCAGTTTTTATGTATTGGTATTTTGAAATTATGTTGTTAGATACATTCAAATTTAGAATCCTCATCTTTTTGGTAGACTGAACTTGTATCAGTATGATACAAGCTTCTTTTTATCGCTAGGAATGCTTCTTACTCTAGGCACTGTTGGACAGTGATATTGCCACATCAGTTTTCTGTCCTTTTTTGCCTGGGTATCTTTTCGTCTCACCTGTCTGTGGTCTTCCATCTTCACATGCACCTCTGTGAATAGTGTAGAGTTTTCATGTTAGTCAGTTTGACACTTTTTATCTTTCCGTGAGAACCTTTGCTCTGTTTACAGTTTGCTGTTCCCCTGTGCAGACACTGTGTTGCTGTTTGTTTTCTGTCTGTCCCGCCTCTTCTGTGTCCTTGTCTCGGGCCTTCTGTTAGAAAGATGAGGTGTTTTTCTAGTTCTTACTCCTCTGCCAGGCAGTTAGGTGAACATGTGCAGATACGGCATGTGGTTTACATTTAAGTCTAACTTAGTGCTTTTACTGCCTCCCTGACACGACTGCTTCCTCCCTGTTCTGTTATCCTTTAAAACTGTAGATATATTTTTGGTGTTATCATGATTGTAGAGTTAATGTGTACTGTCACAGTTAGCTCACTGTTGGTCTTTACTTGTTTTTTATATTTCAGTCAGAGACTACTTTTCTTTTTCCCAAAGCACGGCCTTAATATTTTTTCAGTTCGTGTCTGTGGGTGATGAGTTGTCTCATTTCCACTTGCCCTAAAAGTCTTTATTTTCTTTCCCTCCGGAAGTGTGTTTTTGTTGGGTGTAGAACTCCAGGTTGGTGGTGTTTGTTTTCAGCATTTTACAGGTGCCCGTAAATGATCTCCTGACTTCGTTGTTCTTGAAAAGTCAGCTCTCGGCGTTGCTGTGCCACTAAAAGCCACACCTTTTTTCCTCTGAGTGCTGGAACATTTTCTTCTCACCTCAGACACCTGCAGAGCTGCTGAAACCAATGTGTGCTTTTCATTTCTGAGTCAATAGTCTGATTCTTGAGCCAACTCTTGCCCCCGTCCCTGCCAGTCAGTTCAGTCACTCAGTGTCTGACCCGTTGCGACTCCACGCACTGCAGCACGCGAGGCTTCTCTGTCCATCACCAGGTCCCGGAGCCTGCTGAAGCTCATGTCCATTGAGTCGGTGATGCCATCCAACCATCTGACCTTCTGTCGTCCCCTTCTCCTCCCGCCTTCAGTCTTCTCCAGCATCAGGTGCTTTTCCAATGAGTCAGTTTTTCGCATCAGGTGGCCAAAGTATTGGAGCTTCAGCATCAGTCTTTCCAGTGAATATTGAGGACTGATTTGCTTTAGGATGGACTGGTTGGATGTCCTTGCAGTCCACGGGGCTGTCAAGAGTCTTCTCCAACATCACAGTCCAGAAGCATTGATTCTTTGGCATTCAGCTTTCTTCATGGGCCAATTCTCACATCCATACATGACTACTGGAAAAAACATAGCTTTGACTAAATGAACCTTTGTCAGCAAAGTGATGTCTCTGCTTTTTAACATGCTGCCTAGGTTCGTCATAGCTTTCCTTCCAAGGAGCAAGTGTCTTTTAATTTCACCATCTGCAGTAAGTTTGGAGCCCAAGAAAATAAAGCCTGTCACTGTTTCCATTGTTTCCCCATTTATTTGCCATTAAGCAATGGAGCTGGATGCCATGATCTTCATTTTTTGAATGCTGAGTTTTATGCCACCTTTTTCACTCTCCTCTTTCACTTTCATCAAGAGGCTCTTTATTTCCAACCCCTGGAGGCATTTCTTATTCCCCTTTCTGTCTTTTCTCCCTCATAAAGGGACCCATTTATAGCTTTTAACAACATAGTTTAACAACGGGCTCTTTTGATATATTCTATACTTTTTTCCCTCTTATATATATATATTTTGAACTGATCTACCCTTCAGTTCACTGATCCTCTCTTCAGCTACGTCCAATTTGATGTTAAGCCCAGAGACTGAGTTCCTAAATTCAGTCACTATTCTTTTAAAGTTGTAGCATTGGTGCTGAGTCTCAGAAAATTTTCCTTTGGTCAAGTATATATTTGAACTCGTGACCTTTGCATCTGATGCCTCTAGCATACCTCTGGATATGTTTCAGTGCTTTTTCTCTTGGTCCTGTTTGTTGTTACACCCTTTTTTGCTTTGTTGGTTGCATGTTGGGCACTACGTTTGGAAAACCCTAGAGGTCCTGAGTGATGCTGTCTTCTCCAGGCTTTCCTCTGCGGTAGACCTCTCGTGGGGACAGAGCTCTGTGTTTGCTCAGGGCCTGAGTGACTTGAGGCTGGGGGGTCCTTGTAAGCTGAGTCTCAGCAGCCTTCACCCACTTTCCCCGCCCCCCTCACCCGACCCCAGGGAGGAGCCCTCCAGCGTCTCCGTCTGGAAGCCTGGGGTGCCTCCCAGGGCCCCTCCTTCTCGGCAGGTCCTGAATCCCACCGTCCACCTCCTGACGACCACGAGGTGATTGATACTCAGAGCTCAGCCAGTTTGGTCAGGGTGTTGGGAACGTTTTCTGTACCTAACTTTTCTTGGGGAGACTGGTCTCTACCATTCGGACTGACTTGTCAGGCCTGCGCTCACGTGTTTGTCTTCTCAGCCTGAGGAGCAGTCCAGAGCTGTGTTAGCCAGTCCCCTCTGCTGGACTTTCCCCTGCCTTTTCTTCGCAGAGTCAGCTTTGTTCAGATGCCCTGGGGGAAGGAGCGGCCTCTCAGTCTCCAGCTGCCTCACTGCACTTCCCTTTTGCTTGAAATCTTGGATTGTGGCTGCCTGAGGACCTCTTTTAAAATGTATTTAGCTTTTCTAGCTCTGGGTAGGCTGACCTACAAGCTGCTTGCGTCTGTAACTGGACGTGGGGAAGCCCTGGGTGTCTTCTCTCATCTGAAGCCACATGTAAGCATCACACTAATTATACCGATCATCTTTATTTGATACCGGGAAAACAAGAGGCAGGGGTCCTTGCTTAGTACCCATGGTTGTGTTTCGGATCAGAATCCCCAGCTTGCCCATGCTCTTTCAGTGCCACTTGAATTTGGGAAGAAGGTGGAGCAAGCAGCCCATGCAGCCTGGGGACGGAGGAGCCGGTGTGCCTGCTTCCCCTGCGCCTGCCAGCCCAGGGCAGGCCTTGCGATGACGGGCTGCTGGTGGTGGAGGAGAAGCTGAGGAGAGCGGGGCTGCGTGACCTGTTGTGTGATGGGGTCACCTGTGGGTTTTCTTTTTCAGTTTGAAAAATGACTGCTTTTAATCTTCCCTCCAGTTTCACTTTAAGGTTGAAAATGAAGATTTTATTCTTCAAGTTGAGCACAGTGATTTTACAGTCTTTTTGAAAGCCACAGTTGAGGTTTTCAAAAGACGTCTCAGAGAACTGCAGTAGATAAAGCAAAAAAAAAAAAAAAGAGAACGTGTTTAGGGTGCACTGCGGGTGGGACCCCAAACTCTACCCTGTCTCCCCAGAGTCTGTCATTGCTGAGACAGGCGGATATAGGACCTCAAGCACCCCGGGGACTGAGTCCTCAAGTGACCGCAGAGGACCGGGCTGAGCCAGGAGCAGTGTGGGCTATGCCCTGGTGTGTGGAGAGCCATGAGGCTGGGAATGGGGCCAGGAGAGGGGGTGGGAGACTTGGGCGTGGAGGGCGGGGCAGTCCCTGGAGGGATCTGGGAGGTGCTGGCTGTCACAGCTTGAGGCAGGGCCACCCCTGAACCTTCACCGTGCAGCCCCCATGGGGCCAAGTCGTCTGGCGGCCCAGGGTTAAAGTTAAGAGGGCGAGCTCGCAGCAGGTTGAATGAACCCCTGTCCCCACTCTGGGTTCATTGTAAGCGCCTGGAGCGAGGTTGGTCAAGCCCTTGCTGAGCTCAAGTGAGGGAGCCAGTCAGGGAGGACCAAGCTCAGGGTGACAGTGAGGGGCAGCCAGCGAGGTGAGTCCTCCTCAGCCACATGGATTCTGGGCACATCCTTGAGTTCAGGGGTGCCCTTTCAGTAGCCTCACTGCAGGCTTGTTTCGGGGGTGGAAGAAGCAGAAGCCCACTTAGAAGACGTGCTCATCCCTAGCGGTGGTGGTTTCTGAAGCAGTTTATACTGTTCGGTTTGACTGTGACCCAGTGACCTTGCAGGGTGACGTTTGACGGTGGGCCAGAGCTGTGGGCATGGCCTTCCTTCTCCCGCACCCAACACACACCTGCCATCTTTTTGGCAGCCCCTCCCCCTGATGGTGGGCCGGAGTCCAGCCCCCCTGTTACCACGGAGCCCTTTGTGACAGAGTGGCTTCCATGATCCGGGCTCCTGGGAGATGTGCTGGAGGCAGAGCCTCCGTGCCATTTCTTCTTGAGACAGTGGAGCTGGTGGTCATAGTGTGAGAGCAGTGTGAGAGTGGTGTGTGTGAGAGCGGTGTGTGTGAGAGAGCGGTGTGTGAGAGCGGTGGTCATAGTGTGAGATCGGTGGTGATACCTCAGGCGCTTAGGGATCTGCCTGAGAAACAGCAGGTGCCCCCAAGAGGGGGGTGCCCCCATCCGCGAGGATGGGTCCCAGAAGGGCCAGCCTATGGGCGCTTTTCCCATGCTGCAACCCCAGGAAAAAGGCCAAGACAAGAAATAAGTTGGCCTCATCCCAAGTCCTGGAAGCAGAGTGCCCGGAGGCGAGAGCAGCCAGGGGATGGGCCCCTCGGGTTGGCCCTCACCTGGCGAAGCGTTGGGGTTGTTTCACTTTGTTCGCATGCTCGTGGGCCCTGCCGGCCAGGGCGTTCTGGCCTCCTGGGCAGGATCGACCCCAGCAGGTTGACCTTGTAAGAGGCTGTGCAGATGCTGCGTGGACGATGGGCAGGGGCCCCACAGGAAGGGGAACAGGGGCTGGAGGAGTCACTGGGGCACATGGACTGAGCTCTAGAGTCGGTCCTTGGAGCAGAAAGGAAAGGCTAAGCCCCTTAAAGTCTCTCTTCTTCCAAACAAGGGATCTACTGGCTGGAGGAGTCTCTGGGGCGTGTGGGTCGAGCTAGAGAGTCAGTCCTTGGAGCAGAAAGGCTGAGCCCCTTAACGTCTGCCATCGTCCAAAGCCCAGAGCAGTGCGCCCGGTGTTCTAATGACGGGTGCCTACGGCTCCTGTGTATGACACACACCCTCACAGCCTCACATGTCTACTACATGCCTCTTACAAAGTGCTGGGCAGTGCTCTAGGTGCTGAATACTTAGTATGTAGTAGGGGAGACATAGCCCAGGATTTTTGTATTTGTGCAAAGAATAGAAGAATGAAAGAGTCCGTGTGGCTCGGTTTAAGCAAGTTCACCACGTGGACGGCCCCGGGTGCATGCATATTGTGATAAAATACATATAACATGAATTTACCATTTAAAGCAGTTCATTGAATGACTGGGTGACTTCAGTGGAGTTAGGCTAACAGACAGCCTTGGGGTGCCATCAGCCTCTTTCCCAGAGGAACACTCCAAAGCCTGGTGGCCTTGAAGACCTTACCTTTCTTCTTCACTCTCCCCAGCGGCTCTAGGTCACTTGTCTGTGTGTCGTTTAAGAATCTCTTTATCCACTTTGTTGTCAGGTGTATGTTTAGGAAAGTTTCTCAGACTTCCCTGGGTCTTGAGAAGGCAGGCTTGGATTCCAGGTTCTCCCCTGACACACAGGCTTGGATTCCGGGTTCTCCCCTGCCGTGTGCCTGCCAGGTCGAGGTGGAGGCTGCAGGCCAGTCTGAGTTGTAAGGGTCTGTGTGGTCTTGGGGTCAGTGGACCCCCTCTTCTCCGGAGGGGCAGGGAGATCCTTTGAGTGGAGCCTGGAGAGAGTTGACAGTGTCAGTCTTCAGTCTCTAAGATTTGTATTTGCATTTAGTTACTTCCTCATTGACCTGTTTTCTAGGAGTTGGCCATATCTCAACAGGGCATGCAGGGAGCAGCTTCTTACAAGAGAAGCAGAAATTGCAGAGCTAAAAGCCGAAAGGAACAACACCAGGGTCAGTAGGCGGAGTCTCACGTGTTGACCTGTGCCCCGCGGGGGTCACCGCTGGGCTCCGTGTTGCTGTCTTTAAAGTCTGTTTGGTTTTCAAGTCATTTTTCACACCTTCCCACTGAGCAGAATGAGGTGGATCAGTTCGGGGTTCTCATACCTTGCTTCCAATTGATGATGAGAGCTAATGTAATTTTAGTACATTTGAGGGGAGAGTTCTCTTAGCTTCCATTTTTGTCCATGCTGCAGTTTGTGTGGGATCTTAGTTCCCTGACCAGGGATTAAAACCCATGAGCCCTGCAGAAGTGTGGAGTTTTAACTCCTGGGCCACTGGGGAAGTCTAGTCTAACTTTAGACTGAACTGGCGGGATTCCGACGTGGCTTAGCATGCTTTTGGTCTTAGCGTGAGGCTGAGAGGCATTCTCGGCCCTGAATTCAAGTGTGAGGTTGAAGGTGCTCCTTTGGCCCCACCTTGCAGCTGCTGCTGGAACACCTGGAGCTCCTGGTTTCCCAGTATATGCCGTCCCTCCAGATGATGGCGGGCACGCAGCAGGCGCCGTCCCCAGCTGGAATGACCAGAGAGGTGGAGGTGCTCAGGGCGCTGAGACTGCTCTTTGAGCACCACAAGGCCCTGGACGAGAAGGTACCAGCCACGCGGCCGTCCTGGATTTGTACACTTGCTGCCTGGTTAGGTGGACGATGCGCGGATTTATGGATCTAGTTGACTTCTGATCTTCTTGAATTCTTGTAAATACAGTTTTTCTGTAAGAAATCAGAGTTTTATATGGTTCAAAAGCATTGCCTATGTACATGCTCAGACATGTCCGAGTCTTTGTGACCCTGTAGACCGTAGCCCACCACGCTCCTCTCTTCATGAGGCTTCCCAGGCAAGAATACTGGAGTGGGTGGCCATCTTCTACAACAGGGGATGTTCCCGACCCAGGGATCAAACCTTCCCTCTCGCATTGGCAGGCAGGTTCTTTCCCACTGAGCCACCTGGGAAGCCCCCAGTTAAAAAGTATTAGTTGGCATAAATGTCTCAAGGTTTATTTTATTCCGTCTATTAATTTGCAATTAAAAACTGGGTAATGCAGTTCTTTTAGGGTAACATTGTTTTCCTCTGAAACTTAGAATTTAAAGCTGTTAGTAAGCAGATTTTCTTCACGCTAAGGTCAAGGCATTCTGTTAGGTTCGCCATGGAATCAGGTGAGGATACAGCACGAAGTGCACTAACGTATGTACACACATCAACACACAGTGATTTGGCCCCTTTTATTTCAGTTGAGAGAGCAATTAAGACGAGCACTTGAAAGGTGTAGTTCCTTAGAAAAGGAATTAAGTACCATAAACAAACAGGTTAAGTCTGATCAGTCATCATGTAATTTCAGTTAAGGGTTCGTCATTTGTATATTTTCATCTTCAAAAAGTATGAAGGCTGTAGTGGTAGACATCAGATGTTATTTATCTTTGAAAAGGGGTGCAAGGGCCTGAGGAATAACCCCAGGGAGGGCGGGGCCTGGAGCCAGGGAGAGACATGTTGGGGGGGTGGCGGGGTGGGAAAGGAGGGGAGGGGGCTTGGTGACATGGATTCCTCCAGCCCCTAGGGCGCTGCCCAACACGCCAGGGCACAGCGCCTGCTTGCAGAGAGCTGGAGACCAGGCGGAAAGTGACAGCAGAGGCCGCTCCCAGGGAGCCTTCAGTGACCCCCAGTGGGTGCTGCAGGGTACCCTGGAGGAGGAGTCTGCTGTTTCCGTTGTGCCATCTGAAGGTGAGAGAAGCGAGAGGATGTGCCGACCGTGTTCATGGGGGTGAACCCAGAGGCAGCTGGTGCGCTGGAGCGGACCAGGAATGATGGCAGGTGGTCCTGCAGCCAGCAAAGGGGGTGGTCCAGACTGGGAGAAGGCGTCACGAGGAAGACAGGGGGCGAGGGCTCTGACAATGGGGGCCAGGTAGCCGGCAGCCAGCACCTCGAGGCTACCCCTAGGTTGCTTTGAGGTCATGTCTGGGAAAGAAGGCAGGACCTGGGTTGAGAGTCGGACAGGGGGGAGATTTGCAGAGAGAAGGGTGTGAGGTGTGAGAGCGGGAGGGCGGCACAGGGCCCAGCAGGCACTCTCCCGTGCATCTCTGATGGCAGAGCCGCCCTTCTGGTGCAAGGGTCTAGCCCCCAGATCAGCCCGAGTGCCTGTACCCCGAGAGGACAGCCGCGGGGGGCTGGCCGTCCAGTCCCCTGGCTGCCCTGCTCGCTCCTGTCTGTGAGTGTTCAGACCAGCCTGGAACATGGAAGGCTGGGAACCTGTGACGACGGCACTCCTCGGGGAACTAATACAAGTGACGACCGCTGAGGTTGACCCAGCAGCCGCGGAGCTGAAGGATTTTTTTCCTTCTTATTTTCCTTCAGCCTGCCTGATGGAGGCATGGATGTATGATTTTAATTTTGCGTTTTTGTCTCTGACTCCGTCAGCCCACCCTTGTGAATAACCTGATAGGATTGCCTTCCGTCCACGCTAAGACCTGAGTGTCAGCAGGCCATCTAGGAACTGGATTCTCCTCCTGCCGTTTCTTCAGTCCTGCTCGCTTAAGAGATGGCAGTGTCTCATAAGCATGGCCGTTTATCCAAAGTCAGGGCTTCCATGTCAAATTGTATTTGGTTCCTGATAGACATGAGCTGTCCTGAATGTCATTGACCAGCCGTGGTCCTCTCGTGCCCAGGTGCAGAGCCAGAGGGAGCAGGCCCGGGAGTCTGTGGAGCAGGCCCATGTGGTGGCCACCGTGGCCCAGGCCTTCGAGAGTGACGAGGATGTGTCTGATGGCGAGGGCGACGGGGTCACCCTCTTCAGCTCGGCCAGTCAGCTGCCCCCTAGTGGGCAGGTCGACACCAACACTCTGCCTGGGATGCGTGAGGAGCAGCTGGACGCCGTCAACGAGGAGATCTGGTGTGTGCGGCCGAACGCAGCTCCACAGAAACTGGGCTTCTCTGAGAAGCTGTCTTCTCCTACAAGAAGTCTGAGTGTTCCACAGTGAGAGAACTGACTTCAGGCCTGCTTCAAGGATTTTCAGTTCTGAGATCACCCTTGATGAGAGAGCTCAGACAGGCAGGGCGTTCTGTCCACCTCTGGTGTCAGTCCTCTGTGAGGAGTGGGGGGGCGTTGTGAGGTGTCCCCCCAGCTCTGAGCCCCAAGGTGGGTGAGGTGCCGACGCGGTGTCCTCTGCAGCCCGTGTGCCCTCCAGCCCTGAGGGTTCACCCTCCCGTGTCCATCGGAGACTCCTACGTTCTGGTGAAAAGCTACCTGGAACAGAAAAGCAGGGGTTTGGGGGTTGGCAAATTCCCACTCAGATCTGCATTGTCCTTTTTAACTCAATACAGTGTGAAGATTGGCTTGTAAGACAGTGGTCCAAGGACATGTGTTTGAGTTTTTCTGATGTCGTCGGTATATTTAAGATGTTTTCTTTAGACACCGTCTTGGCAGTTGTAACAGTTTACAACACGGGATAGAAGGCAAATGCCCGCCTCATGGTGAGCAGCGGGCCTTGGGTCTGGGTGCAGCCGGGTGTCCGGGGGCCCCGAGGCCTGCCTGGGCCACACCGGCACAGCTACACCCCTGTCCCAGGTCCATGTCCAGAGTGGCCGCACGCCAGTGACTGTGTGCAGGACCAGGCAGAGCTGCTGCTCAGATTGTTGTCGTCACGTCAGCCCAGGCCGAGATGCCCGGGCCTGTGTGCTGAGCATGCGGGGCTCAGGGGGAAGGCAGGGGTGAACGGCACAGCCAGCAAACGCAGGTGGTGCCTCCTGCACTTTTGACACCGAGACAGACTGCTTCCTTGGCCTTGTTTCAGCTCAGATTAGCTCAGAAAGATGGGCTTTTCCTGTCCCCGCAGGAAATATGGAATGGTTCAATATTGATATTTTTATTTCTAAAGCAAGTTGTCAGGTAAAGTGAATTGTCCTTAGGCAGTAAGGTGACTTGTTTTATAAATGGTAAATTCTGTCCATCAGCTTGCTATCACAAGTGAAGAACTTTCAGGACTTATAGGTAGAATGAAGCTGAAGATGTTATGACTTGCAAGAATCCTGTATTTTATTTTGGAAATCATTTAAAAGGCATCATCGAGTATTTAAACTGCTATATAAAATCATCCACTACACATTAGGGGAGAAGAGCAGTAAGCGTGAATTCGAGGTTCATGCGGCAGTTTCACATGAATCCAGAAACTCGCACACAGCTGGTTAAGAACTTCATCAAGTGATGCGTTGTTACACATACAGCCTTTAAAAAAGACAAATCCCCTCAGCACTTCATCTGGTCTGGGGACTTTTGTTTAGAAACTCCAGCTTGTTCGTGAATTGCTGTGTTGGTTATAGAGAGTTCCCGATTCCCAGTGGCAAAGACTTGAGGCACTGACGTGCAACTCTGCCCTGAGAGCAGGGAAGGTGAAGGTTGTCAGCTTCAGGTATCTCCTCACAGGGAGAGAGTCGCCACCCAGGCCCCGTCAGAATGATAGCGTAAAGGAGTCAAATCAAACGTGAATGACCAGGGGCCAGTTTGTAAGACTCAGTGCCAAGTTATTCCAGGTTTGAGAATATTCAAAAGAGGGAAAGTCGAACCTTTTAGCCGACATGTGAAATGAGCAGATGTTCCCGGATTTTGCTCATCGTGACAGAGAATGCCAGCCCAAATTTGTTGTCCAGACACGATGCTGTACTGACAAAGGCAGCTGACGAGTTTTGGTCTCTCTTAGGTGGATCCAGCAGGAGAGGGAGAGTGTTTAATTAATGTGTTTAATTCTGCTACATTAAAACACATTTTCTTAAGTTCAAATGTTCTCAATGCAGTTTCAGGGAAGAAGTATTTCCCCCTTATGGAAATATCAATATGTTAATACCTAAAAAGTCCTTTTTTGAAAAGTTACAAATTAGTTGCAACAACTCATATGATGTAGATTAAATGGTAATAAAAATTGAGTTGATCTCAGTGAGGCAGCAGTGAGTGGTGGCATGAAGTGAGATCTAATTCGCTGCCCAGGAACTGAACCTGGGTAGCCTGAAGGAAAACCAAGAAGCCTAGCCACTAGACCAGCAAGGGCTAGAGGCTAGAAGCCAAGTTTTCCTGGATCTTCCCACACTCTCGGTGGGAATGCAAACTAGTACAGCCGCTATGGAAAACAGTGTGGAGATTTCTTAAAAAGCTGGAAATAGAACTGCCATATGACCCAGCAATCCCACTTCTGGGCATACACGCCGAGGAAACCAGATCTGAAAGAGACACCTGCACCCCAATGTTCATCACACCACCGTTTATAATAGGCAGGACATGGAAGCAACCTAGATGCCCATCAGCAGACAAATGGATAAGGAAGCTGTGGTATATATACACCATGGAATCTTACCCAGCCATTACAAAGAATTCATTTGAATCAGTTCTAATGACATGGATGAAAGTGGAGCCCATTATACAGAGTGAAGTAAGACAGAAAGATAAAGACCATTACACTATACTAACACATATATATGGAATTTAGAAAGATGGTAACGATAACCCTATGTGCAAAACAGAAAAAGACACACAGATGTATAGAACAGACTTTTGGACTCTGTGGGAGAAGGCGAGGGTGGGATGTTTCAAGAGAACAGCATCGAAACATGTATGTTATCTAGGGTGAAACAGATCATCAGCCCAGGTTGGATGCATGAGACAAGTGCTCGGACCTGGTGCACTGGGAAGAGCCAAAGGGATCGGGTCAGATGGAGGTGGGAGGGGGAATCGGGATGGGGAATACATGTAAATCCATGGCTAATTCATGTCAATGTATGGCAAAAACCACTACAATACTGTAAAGTAATTAGCCTCCAACTAGTAAAATTAAATGAAAAAAAATAAAAAATAAAAACAGGGATTCATTGAGCTGACTGAATGAGTACTGTCATTCCGGGTCCTTATACTTCTATTAACCACATCTCTAGAATTAAAAGTTACAAGATGAAATCCCTCATTTCTCACTTCCTAACGCAAACTCGCTAGCAACTTCTCATGATGATTTAAGCAGGCACAAATCAAAACTAAGTTCACAAAACTATACAAACAGTACACACAGTACTTTAGTATGTAAAAAAAGAACAGAATGGCATTACACAGAATAGTTGTAAAGGCCATATGACAAAATTCAGACTTTGCAAACAATACAACCAGAGAACCTTCTACAAGTGGAAATATCATTTAACAATGGTGTATAATTGATTTTATAAGTTAAACATAGAATTATCACATGACCCAGCAATTCTACTCCTAGGTATATATTTCCAAGAGAAATAAAAAACATATGTCCATATAACTTTTACACAAACATTCAGAGTAGTAGTATTCGTAATAGCCAAAAAGCAGAAAAAACTCAAACATCCATCAGTTGATGAAAAGATAAATAAAAGGTGATATATCCACACAATGGAATATTTTTTGGCAATAAAAACAAAAGAAATGCTGATATATGCTATACCCTGGATAAACCTTGACAACATTACACTAAGTGAAAGCACCCAGTCAAAAAAGACACATTATTTATTTTATCTATATAAAATCTACAGGACAGGCAAGCATACAGAAGGAGATTCATGTCTGCCTAGAGTTGGGATGGTGGGGATACTGGCAGGAGAAACTGCTAATGGGTCTTGGGTTTCTTGTGGGGCTGATGAAGATGATCTAAAATTGATTGTGGCACTGGGATGCACAACCCTGTGGATGAACTAAAACCCACTGAACTGTACACTTTAAACAGGTGAACTGTATGCTATGTGAATCGTATCTGAATAGTTATTTTAAAAATCAATTTTGTGTTATAAAGATGAAAAATAAACTACTAAAAAACAAAAACAATAACAAAAACCTAGCATTATTGTAAACAGCATGCCCAGCAAGTCAAGAACAAAGATTATCAATTTATTCAACAAAAAATTTTATTGATATGAAATAGTGAATATATGTTTAATCAGATCTTGCTAATTTTCTAATAAAAGGTCTCGTATCAAGGAACTATTCCTTATTCTCATACAGAAATTTACACACACATGTAAATTAAACTGAAAAGATTCTCTGAAGAGCTCATATCACAGATTTTATGAGCCATGAGAAAGAGAAGCATAAAATTAAATGTAAAACAGATTTCATTATAAAATCTCTTTTAGAGTGAATATATAATCTCTCAGATGAGTTAGCAAACTAATATCAACAATTGAAGAAAGAGTTTTCCACACAATAATAGTGTTCTGAAGACATTTTCAATTACCCATATGTAATCAGGAACTAACTGTGATATCTTAATATGCTAATGATAAAACAAAATCTTCTCTGAAACAAAAGAAAGATTTCTATTAACCTATCTATATTCACAAAAAACAGAAAACTTTTAAAATAAAAAAAAACTTTAAAAAATTATTTAAAAAGCACTTCAGACTTATTTTGTTAGTTCTAACTGGTATTTTTCCTTCGCATTAAAATATTTTTAAGCGAAAGCTGAATAACAGGCTAAATACAAATCTTCAATGAACATCCACATGATTTGAGGAAACCAAAAGATGACAAAATATCTTTTAAGCAGAACTTCTTAAAAGTAGGGAGATTATATGTAAGAGGAAATTTCTAGACTAAGTTTGCACATTAAGAAAGAGAAAAGAATTCTAAGGCCACCAGAGAAAAAAGAAGAAAGAGAAAACATGCAGAAAGAGTCCAAGTCAACAAAATTTAAATGAAAAGACCACAGTAAGGTGAAAAAATAACCCTAATTTCCTAAAATTAGTTATTCATAGCACTTATTATAAAGAATTACCAAAAGATATGTGAAGGAATTGGGAAGACTCCAAATGTGACCATCTTTCAATACTATGAAAAATTTTACCATCTGAGAAAATGTAATATAGAATACTAAAGATCCTAACACCATCAGCTTGTTATCTCATTTAATAGAACAAGTATTTCTCAATTATAAAAAGAAACACACATTTTAAAGCTAAACACAGCTAATTATTAAAAACA